ATTATTATTTATGGTGTAGCAGAATTGGGTTCAGTGGTAGGGTCAATTGATTATTGGATTTGTTTGTACAAGCACTGACAGTTGCATGTATTTACTCACTCACTCACCCACTCACTCACTCACTCACTCACTCACTCACTCACTCACTCACTCACTCACTCACTCACTCACTCACTCACTCACTCACTCACTCATCTACTACTGAGATTTGTCATAGTCATGCCATGATCTATTGGTTGTGGTTTCAAATCCTAGATTTGCACCTTATATGACCTGTATCAGTATGGGTTTGCCCCTTACACAATCATCTACACACTGTTATGTTTGTTTGTTTGTTTCATTGTTTGAATATTCAAGCTATTTGATGGTGGTCTGTAAATAATTGAGTCTGGACCAGACAATCCAGTGATTGACATCATGAGCATCGATCCACCCAATCGGGATCGATGACATGCATGAACTAAGTCAGCGAGCCTGACCACCCGATCCCGTTAGTCTCCTCTTACAGCAAGCATAGTCGCCTTTTATGTCACTGTTCCAGTGTTGAACATGTTTGGCTGTGGTAAGATGAACTTTAAGGTCATCTTGTGTAAGTGAAAGTATGAGTATGTATGTTTATTCTGCTTTTAGCAATATTCAAGCAATATCATGGCGGGGACACCAGAAATGGGCTTCACTCATTATACTCATGTGGGGAATCACACCTGGGCATTCAGCATAATGAGCGCATGCTTTAACTACTAGGCTACCCCACCACCCCCATATTGTATAAGGATATGTTAATGTTAACAGGGGATTAGATGTTGCCCAAGGATTAGATAATGTTGACAGGAGATTAGATAATGTTACCCAGGGAATTGGTAATGTTACCCAGGGATACGATAATGATGATGGAGATTAGATAATGTTACCCAGGGATTCTGTAATGTTGACAGGGGATTAGATAATGTTACCCAGGGATACGATAATGATGATGGAGATTAGATAATGTTACCCAGGGATTCTGTAATGTTGACAGGGGATTAGATAATGTTACCCAGGGTTATGGTAATGTTGACGGGGGATTAGATAATGTTACCCAGGGAATCGGTAATGTTAACAAGTGATTTGGGAATGGTTTGTGTGTGTTGTCCCTTCCACTATGGATGGTTGCTCTTGCTCAACCACTGGTTTGTGTGCGTCTCTTAGTACCCAAATATTGTAGATGGTTGCTCATCCTGCCATCATCAACTGGTGTGTCCAGTCAAAATTCAGTTACATACAGAATGTGGTGACATAGATGTAGTGTTGACTGAGGTGTAAAACATCTTCCAATCACTCTCTAAAGATGGGCGACTAATCATCTCTATTTTTTTAGTAAATACCTTACTGAAAGCTGAACATCCCTCTTACACAATTTGACATACGTGTAACTTCTGAAGGTTTTTATCGCCTGAGCAATCCCCTCCTCTAAACATCCTGTCCTGTAGTGTAAAGGCTCTCCCAATACTGGCGCGACTTAAATGTGGAGACTGGCCTGAATGCTGGCTACAGTAAACAAAACCTGATTGAAGGCTGTTAGAGCACTGCAGTGTCCATTGTGTTAGAGGGTGTTGCATCTGTGTGTGCGTCACAAGCAATACACGCTGTACACACACACGGAATAACTACTTGGTGTGAAAATCTCTTCAAATTTTTATGCATAAAAAATCCCTGAAGGTTAAACTGTTGTGAAAATTTCATTGATTTGATGGTCTGGAGTTGAATGCGTGAAGTGTTATTTGAGTAAATAATTCAGCCATTTGATCAACTGTGAGTATTCTTGTTTCTTAGCAAGCATCTTTGAATCATTTTATCAAATATAAGGATGACTATTGAAATCCTAAGAAAGAAGCCAGCCAATAACAATGGAGCAAGGCATCTACCTACCCCCAGTGTGGACTCCACTGTGCTTTAATCATCATCCTGTCATCCCACACCACCCTCCCCCCACCCCGACACCCCATACCACAACCCCCTTTAATCTTATTGGCTTCGTCATTATGTTATTATCCTTTTACATTAATCCTGCCTTGTCTTGTGTAAACATACCTTCATGTTTAGGCCAAAAAAATAATACCCGTAGTCTTGGTTCTCAGGCACCGCCTGCATCGTCTTAAAGTCATCGACGCATGTTTCATTTATATGTCCATTTTCCTCCTAAAAATCTTAAAATATTCCGTGTCTCAAACACACAACCCCAGCAGTGAAAAGCTACAATACTAGAGAACAACATGATTTCGCCGAAATTATTGTGAACAAAATTTGGTTCCAAACTAGCTTGAACAAAAATAAATAAATAAAAACACCATCCACCAGCACTATATTTTCAAAAGCCATTGCCTGAGAACCAATTCTTTTATTTTTTTAACCCTTATATATATTGCCCCCCCCCCCCCCATATGCTTACTGAGTATTCACCTGATGAGGGGGCAAGAAGTAGCCCTGAAGCATTGTTACAAAGAATAAAAGAAGCTGCTATCCATTAAAAAGTGTCATGTCATTAAAGGATGACATTTTCCTGCATACAACTCTGTGATGCTTATGTCAACATTCACAAGATCACGTAGACATTTCCCTGTAATACCGTATTCGACGTAATAAGCGCCCCGCTCTAATAAGCGCCCATGGTGATATTTGCTAATATATTGGCACGTGAACAATCCCAATTAGCACCCCTTCCAATTGATCAATGTAAACAAGACTTATTCATTCGCGCATAATACGCACTCCTGTGTTATATGCACCATTAATTATGGGCAATTAAATTCTGGAAAAATATAGCTGTCGTACATAAACATTTTAGGCTGTCAGCATAAACCACGAAATTTATCTTTCAACTCTGTTTTTTTCCACCAAAATTATATTTTAATAAGAGTCCCCTATTTCTAATTTTGAGAGCGCCCTGGGCGCTCATTACGTCGAATACGGTACATGTGACCAACATTGAGATAAGGGACCTTATGGGTGAAAAATCACATTTTGACTTCTTATTTTATTTTGAAACTACAGTATCTTAAGACCACAGAAATACAATTCATGAGATTCAACTCATATTTATTACAGAGATACATGGTATCAAACATTTGGACTCATTTCCTGCAAAGTCCCATTTTCGAACTTATGACTGTTTATGTAATAACTTCTGTTTTTACATATAATGTCTGTTTAATTTAAAGTAGACTTGTGTGCTGAAATGCTTTGAAATAATGTTTTTTATAACATTACCCACATTACAAGAGAAACATATGCTATTTCTTTACAGTCTGTCAAATGTCTTTCTTTATGACGTCACTGCTCAAGTGTATCCTACCGACCATGACATCCCTTTTCTCCTGGTGACCCATGAAGACCACGGGTAGAGAATAGGTCTTCAGCAACCCATGCTTGTCATACAAGGTGACTATGCTTGTCGTAAGAGGCGACTAACGGGATCGGGTGGTCAGGCTTGCTGACTTGGTTGATGCATGTCATCGATCCTAATTGCGTGGATTGATGCTCATGATATCAATCACTGGATTTTCTGGTCCAGACTCGATTATTTACAGACAGCCGTCATACAGCTGGAATATTGCTGAGTGCGGCGTTAAACAACAAACCAACCAACCAACCTTTTCTCCTGGTGGGTCACATATGATGATATTCGTATCTAGTATCCCATAATTAATCAGATTAGTTGTAAAAAAGAAAATGTCAAGATTAGTGACTGGTCACCTGTATCAAGTATCCAAGTTGGTTACATTTCCATAATGGCCATGTTACGTTAATCATCACACGCCTGTTGGCACAAGTGTAGGATGCAGTTTATTCAAGGTTTTGTTGTTTCAGTTATGTCTTCCATGTCTCTGTAATGTATGTGTGTAATCTGTTAGTCTTGTATGTTAGTCTTGTATCGCTGGTCTGTGTGTAAGTTCTGTGATGTATGTGTTGTTTCCATGATGTTTGCATGTAATCTCTGTGAAGTGTGTAGTCTTGTTTCCTTAAATATGTGTACTTTGCATGATATGTGTAGTTTCTATCTTGTTGTTTAGTTTCCATCTTGTTTGTTTAGTTTCCTGTATGTGTGTGTAGTTTCCAATATGTGTGTTTAGTTTCTTGTATGTGTGTTTAGTTTCCAATATGTGTGTTTAGTTTCTTGTATGTGTGTGTAGTGTCCAATTTGTGTGTTTAGTTTCCTGTATGTGTGTGTAGTTTCCATCTTGTTTGTTTAGTTTCCATCTTGTTTGTTTAGTTTCCTGTATGTGTGTGTAGTTTCCATCTTGTTTGTTTAGTTTCCTGTATGTGTGTGTAGTTTCCAATATGTGTGTGTAGTTTCCATCTTGTGTGTTTAGTTTCCTCTGTGTGTGTGTGTGTGTGTGTGTGTGTGTGTGTGTGTGTGTGTAGTTTCCAATATGTGTGTGTAGTTTCCATCTTGTTAGTGTAGTTTCTATGATGTGTTTGTGTGATTTCTGTGATGTGTGTGTGTAGTTTCCATGAAGTGAGTGATGTTTATTACTGTGTGGTGTTTCCAAGTTTTACAAAGTGAGTTGTTTCCCTTCTGAGTAATAATCAAGTAAGTGTGTGTAGTTCCACTGACATTTACATCAAGTTCTCATCACATGTAAAGTACCCGTGAAGATCGGGGGTAGAAATGGTCTTCAGCACCCCATGCTTGTCGTAAGAGGCGACTGAAGGGATAGGGTGGTCAGGCAAGCTGACTTCGTTAATGCATGTCATCGATCCCAATTGCGTAGATCTATGCTCATGATGTCAATCACTGGATATTCTGGTCCAGACTTGATTATTTACAGACTGCTGTCATATAGCTGGAATATTGCTGAGTGCTGCGTTAAACAACAAACAAACAAACAAATCATATGTGAAGTTTCCATTACATGTGTAGATCTGTGTTTACTTTGTACATCTATATATGTATAGTATTCCTTGATATTCACATTAAGTACAGGTTAGTAACAAATCAGTTGTCACCAAAAGACACCTACCTGTGGCCTGGGAAAAACGTGCAGAGAATATGGCCAGAAAGGCTAGGAGGCAGTCCCACAGATCCATGTTGGCCTCCGATGATGTCCAGTTGGATATATAGCAGGGCGGAAACACGGAACTGTCACATTGATTTTGTCACTGTTGTTTCACCCGATAGGTGTCATCACACTCACCACCAACTGTAATATTCACATTGTTTCCGTCACTTGTTGAGTAGACTGATTAGTCCTTTATGGAATACCGTACTTGTATTAAATGAATAGGAGACGTTTTCGTCCGTTTACTCGGCCTGCTGGTTACCTGTTGAGACTGAGCAGTGCTGTGTCTACATCACGTGTTGACAAGGATGGTGCTTAGTTTACATTACCACAGCAGCCATTCAGGGCACTGGGAGGGATTGCCTCCGTTACACATTGGGGCACGGAGAAGGTGGAGCTGACAACATTACTGGGATATTATTATGTTCCTCTCACAACTTGTTTCCCTTTCAACTGATTCGTGTTTGCATTACGAAAAGTCAAACATGGACAGGAATGCCTGTGTTCATTTCCAACAGGGGACAATATTTCAGATATTTGAATGAATGCACACAATATTTGGGATGTTTACACACTTTACTGGGCCTCTCGGCATCTTGAAAGGACTGCCCTGTCAGTTTCAGATCTTTCCATGTATCCAAGGATTTGTTGATCTGTTTCAAACAGGCCCACGTGACTGCAGTTGGCCTGACTGCACTGACTGCTGCTGTCTTAAGGCCTCATCCCCATCACAGCTCCAAGATTCCGGTCTGGACGTCTCAGTTTATGATGTCACACGTGTGTTTGTGTGTGTGTGGTGTGCCATGACCTCAGGTCATCCACTCTCCTTGAGAGGACTTTCATTCTGGAGATGAGGGTACTTGAAGCACTTTACACCTTCAGTGGTGTAGCTCAGACCCTTGTTTCTCCTCATTTCATAGCTTGGTGTAAAGTTGATATCTTCTTGAATTAAACCAGTACTTACCTGGTGCACTACTTAAAAGGGTAGACATCTCTTAAGTCTGGAAACAAACCATTTGTAACTTGTCAGTAGCCTCATTATCTTTCTGTGGGGACAGTGGGATAAAACTTAAACCTGCTTCACCTTCTGTTGTCTTATTAAGCTGTGTTTTCAGTTTCTGTAGACCTGTATCAACACATTTGCCATTGTGTCAATACACCAATACACTGGCCAGTGTAGAAAATCAATACATTGGCTACTGTAGACCATCAATACATTGGCCCGTGTAGATTATCAATACATTGGCCACAGTTGGCCATCAATACATTGGCCAGTGTAGACCACCATTGCATTGGACACTTTAGACCATCAATACATTGGCCAGTGTAGAATATAAATACATTGGCCAGTGTAGACCATCAATACATTGGCCAGTGTAGACCATCAATACATTGGCCAGTGTAGACAATCAATACATTGGCCAGTGTACATTTTAAATGCATTGGCCATAGTTGACTATCAGTACATTGGCCACTGTAGACCATCAGTACATTTGCCAGTGTAGACCATCAAAACATTGGCCACTGTAGACCATCAAAACATTGGCCACTGTAGACCATCAAAACATTGGCCACTGTAGACCATAAATATATTGGCCACTGTAGACCATCAATACATTGGACACTATAGACCATCAATACATTGGCCAGTGTGCATTATCAATGCATTGGCCACAGTTTACCATCAGTACATTGGCCACTGCAGACCATCAATACATTGGCCAGTGTAGACCATCAATACATTGGCCACTGCAGACCATCAATACATTGGCCAGTGTAGACCATCAGTACATTGGCCACTGCAGACCATCAATACATTGGCCAGTGTAGACCATCAATACATTGGCCAGTGGAGACCATCAGTACATTGGCCACTGTAGACCATCAGTACATTGGCCACTGTAGACCATCAATACATTGGCCACTGCAGACCATCAATACATTGGCCAGTGGAGACCATCAGTACATTGGCCAGTATAGACCATCAATACATTGGCCACTGCAGACCATCAATACATTGGCCAGTGTAGACCATCAGTACATTGGCCACTGCAGACCATCAATACATTGGCCACTGCAGACCATCAATACATTGGCCAGTGTAGACCATCAGTACATTGGCCACTGCAGACCATCAATACATTGGCCAGTGTAGACCATCAATACATTGGCCACTGCAGACCATCAATACATTGGCCAGTGGAGACCATCAGTACATTGGCCAGTATAGACCATCAGTACATAGGCCTCTGTAGACCATCAGTACATTTGCCAGTGTAGACCTTCCATACATTGGCCACTGTAGACCATCAATACACTGGCCTCTGCAGACCATCAATACATTGGCCAGTGGAGACCATCAGTACATTTGCCAGTGTAGACCTTCCATACATTGGCCACTGTAGACCATCAATACACTGGCCTCTGCAGACCATCAATAATTTGATGACTGTAGACTGACTGCCAATGGCTAGTTATCAGGCGTAGGAAGGGCTGGCTGGGTGTTTGAATCAGGCAGGGTCGGGAGTGGGTTTGAAGGACAGATTTTACAAGAGAGGTATTCAGAACAGGTTTGCTTTGGATGGTTTTAAGAAATGTTAATTATCTTCATATTGAGCTGAATGGTGGTGGGTTCTTTGATACCCAATTAATTTTTGCAGGTTTACAGTATATGTTACTGTTACTGATTTCTGTACTTGGGAATTTGAAGGTTAGCTCAGTCAAAGCGGATGTTGTTGGATAAAATAAAGCTCTGCCGTCACTCCGCTGTTAATCTCCTTCAGTTAAACTCTGACAGTGTCTTAATGAAAGATTTTCACGGGGATTCGTAAATCTGCCGACGTTTAACGGGACAGACCTGCACACTGTGAACAGGTCACATGACCTGGGTTATGCCATGGACGTGAGGAGGGTTGCATTGTCTGTGGTATTTGTCAGTCCCACCATCGATCAACAGAGCTTTATGATGAGCTAGGACTCCACACACAGACATCCCAACTCTAACTGGGGCTGGGGGATTGGGGGATTGGGGTGCTGTGTGTGTATGATGGCTGGTGTTAACACTGGGGAGGGCAGTCACATTCTCTACCTGACTGAGCCTGAAATTGTGACAGATCGGTGTGTGTAGTGAGTTGCCATTTTTGTGAAATAAATCAGAATGTGTTTGCATGAGTTGAAAACCTCTACATTGAAAACACAGCCGGTCCATCACCCATTAGGATGTGATGGTAATGTGATGGTTGACCTACTGGTTTCTCACAGGCAGCTTGGGTTGTATACTCACCAGGGAGCTGAGAACGAAATTGAGTCCACACTGATTTATTCACTGGGGCATAATGATTTTGTGCTTTGAGCATACATGAGTGTGGACATTGTTATTATATCTTGACAATACAACAAAACAAATGATATCCAATTGTACATTTGGTTGGTTGGTAGGTTTGTTGTTTAACGCCGCATTCAGCAATATTCCACCTATATAACGGCAGTCTGCAACAATCGAGTCTGGACCAGACAATCCAGTGATTGATATCATGAGCATCAATCCATGCAATTGGGATCGATGACATGCATTAACCAAGTCAGCGAGCCTGACCACCCGATCCTGTTAGTCGCCTCTTATGACAAGCATAGTTGCCTTTTACGGCAAGCATGGGTTGCCGAAGACCTATTCTACCCCGGATCTTCACGGGTGAATTGTACATTGTGCCCCCGTAGGTCTCACAGTATGTGATAGAGTAAAGCCAAATGTCGTGCTGTGTTGATCTTACTGAATTTCACAATGCACTCTTATTTGTTCATTAGATGTACGACCAGCGAAGATCCAGTCTTAGAATATCAAAAGCAAGAGTGGCAGTTCATTTTTAGAAAGAACATCTGATGATGATGATGTTTGTTGTTTAACGCCGCACTCAGCAATATTCCAGTTATATGACAGCAGTCTGTGAATAATCGAGTCTGGACCAGACAATCCAGTGATTGACATGAGCATCAATCCACGCAATTGGGAAACAATGACATGCATCAACGAAGTCAGTGAGCCTGACCACCCAATCCTGTTAGTCGCCTCTTACAACAAACATAGTTGCCTTTTATGGCACAAGACCTATTCTACCCCGGATCCTTATGGGTTCCCAGACTGTTAATATGTGTGAAGCCCATTTCAGTTGTGGCCATGGAAATTCCATGTTAGAATTATTTCCCAGCAACCTATGCTGGTCTTAGGAAGTAACCAAATGGATCGTTACACTTTATCAAACACAATATCAATAACTGTATTGTCTGGTTCAGACTCAGTTATTTACAGGCAACTAACACATAGCTGGAATAAAGCTGGAATGCATCATCAAGCAACAAACAAATAACATTTCTGGTGTCCCCACCATGCTGTTGCAGAAACATTGCTAAATGTGGTGTGAAATCATTTATTCACGGACTCTCCCTAGCTGATGAGGTGTTTTATCATAAACCCCTCAGTGTGGAATGAAACAAGACTGACACACTGTGTAATGTAAATTGAGTTTGTTTATTGTGTTTATATGAATACACTGAACATCAGGTAATATAGTATCAAACATGGCTGGCGGAAGGCTTTGAGCTATGTGTATCCAATACAACAAGCAAGTTGAGGCACAGGTTGAGACATAAGATAGTCCATAACTATTCAGCAGCAGAAGAGAAGCAGCTCAACCTAGTTCCCCAGGGGGATGTACACACAGACACATCATTACAAGAATAGTTACATCTAGGTTTGACAAGCGCTATTTGAAAGCATGGTGATTACATTGCTAGCAGTTTGCTTATCAAGAAGGTGATTTACAATGGTGTTATAAGAACTAAGCTATTACCATTCCGGATCATAGGATGGGAGGCATGGTATTGGGCATGTGATCCAAACTGGAAACAGGTATATGTACTTTTAATAAAGCCTGTTTACATTAAAGAATTACTATTAGCCTAGAATATCCATGTTGACATGTGGTAATCAACAGGTTGACATTGCATAGAAATATGACAGCTCTACTGCATCTACCATTGGTCTCGGTCTGGGCAAGTGCTTCTCAACTCTACCACATCTACCATTGGTCTCAGACTGGGCATGAGCTGCTCAACTCTACCGCATCTACCATTGGTCTCAGACTGGGCATGAGCTGCTCAACTCTACCACATCTACCATTGGTCTCAGACTGGGCAGATGCTGCTCAGCATCTACCATTGGTCTCAGACTGGGAAAGTGATTTTCAGCATCTACCATTGGTCTCAGACTGGGCAGATGCTGTTCAGCATCTACCATTGGTCTCAGACTGGGAAAGTGATTTTCAGCATCTACCATTGGTCTCAGACTGGGCAGATGCTGTTCAGCATCTACCACTGGTCTCAGACTTGGAAAGTGATTTTCAGCTCTACCGCATCTACCATTGGTCTCAGACTGGATAGATGCTGCTCAGCTTCTACCATTGGTCTCAGATTGGGCAGATGCTGTTCATCTCAACCTTATATACCATTGTTCTCAGACCGGATAGATGCTGTTCAGCTCTACCGCATCTAGCATTGGTCTCAGACCGGACAGATGCTGCTCAGATCTACCACATCTACCGTTGATCTCAGACCGGATAGATGCTATTCAGCTCTACCGCATCTAGCATTGGTCTCAGAATGGATAGATGCTGTTCAGATCTACTACATCTAGCATTGGTCTCAGACCGGATAGATGCTGTTTAGATCTACCGTATCTAGCATTGGTCTCAGACCGGACAGATGCTGCTCAGATCTA